TAGTAACCATTTTCAGGAATGGCAACATTAGCTGCTAAGTGCTAATCCCCTAGCTGCTAATGTAAAATAAAAACAATACAACAGTCTGTTTTAAACATGTGGCTAAGTACTAAAATCCTAACTGCTCATGTTTAAAAACATAAGCCCTGTGTTCAACTATCAAAGATTATTACATAATTTGCACCCGTCTTGAGTACCGATGCTGCATTAGCTGCTTGATGCTAATTATAGCATTGCTACACAAGATAAATGAGTAGTGACTGCTAGTGCCTTTGTTTTAAAAATAAAAGGCCTTAATTTAAAGATGGGCACTAAATTTAAATTTTAACAGAAGAATTAATGCATTAATTCAAACTTAAAGGAATGAAGTGAACCGTGTTAGCAACTAGCTTGAATAGCAACGCTGCTTTGAGCTGCTAGGTGTTGATCATTCAGGAGTCTCCATTTGGTCTCTGACTGGCACCAGATATCACCAGTTTGATTTGGACAACTACTGCCAGACATCCTGGGGAGGAAATTATACATTCAGAAATTTTAGTTTGACGAAAACGACTATTAGCAAATATTTACATTGTGTGTGGAATAATTTTCAGCACGCAAACGCATCAAAACGTAAAAACGAGCATTTGTTTGACTTTGTTCAGACAAATCCTCTTTAAATGAAACTGACTAGCTTTTTCTGTCTGCAAGCATTTAGTCTCAATATTGGCTAATCCAAACATTTTGTTCCTCAGTATTCTGCTACATAAAAACAAAAAAAGAAAACAAGGTTTACCAGAAATGGCTAAGTTTTGTTTAAATAATAGTTGGAAGATGTTAAAATGCTCAATGAAGCTAAAGCAAATCAATTTCTAGTTTCATCATGTTTGTTAAAACCCCGTCTATGGCTGCTTTAGGATGATATCAGACATACTTTTATTACAGTCAAATACTAAATGACAGGAATTTAGTTTCCCAATCTTCAAAGTAAAATGTCATGATGACATTTTAGGTGACGGCTTAGATAAAAATAAAACAAAAATATATTGTTTCATTAGAGGTTTCCTGCATAACAAATAAATTATTTATCAAATAGTAGGAAGAAACATGTACACTCGTATTACTAAATCACTTTCATACAGTTGTAGCGTAACGCAGTAAAAAGTTCTTCAGTGTTCCGTCTTTACGCTCACTCATATTGTACGTAAAATAACAAAAGCTCTAGTCAGATAGGTCATATAATACAAACAAAACAAACACTGATTAAATGTTTAAACATAATTAAATCTTTCATAGTTGTGTTCAAATCTCAAATCGACTGCTGTTCCCACCTCCAGACAGCAGGGGGCGAGCTGTCATTGCAGCCGACAGGAACTAAGACAATAAAACACACTATTTACATCAAAACTTCAGATAGTTTGTAAACTTGTTCAGTGCTTAATCCATGCTTAATATCACAATTCATAATCATAATTCACATCTCAGGATTTTCAGTTTTAGTGGTTTCTATTCACATAAACTCGGTGTTTTTACAGCAGGTCAGGCTAACCGTATTTCTCTCACACTCGTGCTCTTATAGAATTTAAAAAACAAACCTCTTTATCTAAACTCTGCTGCGTTACGCCGCAACTCATTCAGGAGCACCGTGTGTTTTCTGCGCGTCACAACATCTTACAGGCTTCAAGTCACAGTGGTCTGGTTGAAGCTATTGTCCCCTCCAGGTTGCCGTATTTAATCCCTGATGAAAAATGTAGCAGCAGGTGTAGCTTTGCCTGATGCGACTCGAATCTCAGCGTTCATAGTTAAAGATGCTCGGAGGCATCGGGGATTCTTCATAGGGGCCGAGATGAGCACAGCAGGAAATTATCAGGAGACACTCCTCCTTCAGAAGTTTTATACAACAAAAATAAAATAAAAAAAACTGGTTGGGCTCAGTTCCATTTCATATCGGGGTTTCTAATCGTTACACTTTGGGTTTAAAAAGCGTACGCTGCGATGGTGGGTCGAGGTTCAAATTATTTCAACCAAACGTTTAAACTTTGCAATTTTTTTTTTTCTTCTTTACCTGATTTAAACAAGAATGCCACAAACATCAGGCTGAACGTGGGTGAGAAAACTTGCACATACATTAAGGAGCTTTCTTTTGGGTGAAGACACAAAATCTGTGGGTTGAATATTTTGTCTAAATACATCAATGAGTGAAAGAGATTTTAATCGTTTTACAGCCACGTGATTCAGGATTACAGTAGTCCCTCGCTACTTCGCGGTTCGTTTATCGCGGTTTTTCAAAATAAGATTGGACATGACACACAATTGGCTGATTGATGGATGAGCTGCACGATCGGCATGGAATTCTTATTTAAAATAAATTATTTAAAATTATTTAGCACCTGCTGCACTTCTGTGCAGCCCATACTGCAGGATAAACTTCCTGCTGCAGCTGATCAGCTGATCAGTGGATCAGCTGTTCAGCATACAGCGGAGAAGTGGGCGTGGCCGAGAGAGCTTGGTGTCAAAGATCAGAGGAGGCAGGGAGCTGAGATCATGACGTCCTGTGCTCTTTTAAAGCGTTTAGAGTTTAGAAACCTTGTTTAGAATATTGCAAGAGTGTGGGAAGAGTTTAAAACACCTTTTTATATATATATACTATACTAAAATAAATTACTACTTACTACTATTCCTACTTCATGGTTTTTCACTTATCGCGGGGCTTCAGTGTACAGATCCCCTGAGATAAACGAGGATCTACTGTAGAACATAAATATTTAGCAGGAAAATAAAAGATTTTGGTGTACTTTAAAAAATAAACTGAGAAAGTCCTAAATAAAGCAGCATCCCTTGAATAAACGCTACCATCGTACATGCCAGTGTTTACAACAAAGACCCGTTAACCCTCAGGGAACGTGTTGGGCATGGCTCTCAGCTACCACCACACTGTTTTCGGCTCGATCGCTGTAAAACTGACTGAGTTTTAGCTATTTTTGTGTTTGCCAAGTTTACTTAGCTGTGGAAACAGGCTGGTTCTAAAAGCTAACCAAGTGGAGATCCGATGGCTTCCTTCTGAGAGATCCATTAAAACCTGTGAGATATTTTGCTAACAGACAGATACAAGCACACACACGGGAAATGACTCCGCAGGTGATAATGTGATGATTAGTTGCTTTCAAGCTCAAATCTGTGAATCTAGCTAAATTATTTTGTGCTTACATTACCCTCAGGTTTTACCTCATGAAGGTACATTAAGGATTTCTTTTCTTATTGGATAATGACCACATTTTCAAAAAGTAAGAGCAATCAATGTAGTCATTTACACTCCTGAAACTTTACAGTTAAATAAACTCTCCACTGAGTTTATTTCTTTTAAATTCTGATTACCGTAATTTCTGGACTATAAGCCTCTATTTTTTTTCACAGGCTTTGAACCCTGCAGCTTATACAATGCTGCGGCTAATTTATTTATTTATTTTGATGTGCTAACGAACTTCCTGCTGCCAGGTGCGCTCAATAGTCTGGAAATTACAGTAGTTTTATTAAATTCATTTAACTAAAGACGGTCAGTGTCTCAAAACAATTACAGTAGTCCCTCGTTTGTCGCGGGGGATCCATACCCTGAAGACCCGTAATAAGTGAAAAACCCGAAGTAGAAATAGTACAAGTAGTAAGTATTAGTTTATTTTAGTATTTATATTAAGGCGTTCTAAACTCTGCCCACACTCTTGCAATATTCTAAACAATGTTTCTAAACTCTAAATGCTCTAAAAGAGACAGAATGTTCTGCTTCCTCTGCTCTTTACCACCTGCAAGCGCTCTTGGCCACGCCCACTTCTCCGCTCTGCACGGAGAACAGCTGATCAGCTGCAGGAGTACGCTTCTTCTACAGCTCTGGGCTGCACAAATGTGCAGCAGGTGCTAAATAATTTAAAATAATTCATTTAAAATAAAAAACCCACGCCGACCGTGCGGCTCATCCATCAATCAGCCAAATGTGTGTCATGTCCACTCTTATTTTGAAAACCTGCGATGAACGAACTGCGAAGTAGCGAGGGACAACTCTATAATCAGTCTGCTTCAGAGCAAAGCGACCCTCAGGGGAACGGTTTCACTTTAGTTTCTTTAAATGTTCATCTTGAATCTCAATCAGTTAAAACTTTTCTGTTTTGGACCATTACCTGTTTACTGGTAATGTCTGTTAGGTCATCACGTTCGTTCTCCACCATATAGAGTTTAAACTGGTTTGGCTGCTGCTTCAAATGTTTATGACAATATCAACTTTTTTTTTTTTTTTACCACATTTATAAAGTCTGTGGTTTTTCTCATCTCGACACTTACTCTATCAGAGAGATTAATCTAAATTTTAATTTTAAGTGTTCGTCTCAAAGTAAATTAGAGCCGGTGAAAAGTTTTCCTCGAAGAAGGAAGTGAAATGAGCTCAGATCAGCTTCACTGCAGGAGGTCGACTCCCAGGTTTATTCCTTTTTAATGAAATGGAATTCAGCCCATTATTTTTTTAGATCGACATCGGAGTAAAAACCTTTTAGACAACGGCACCGAAAACCTCTGAGCTGCTTCACAACAGACAGATCGTGATTCCAACTAACAGATAAATTAAATGGAGTTAAATGCAGCTCAACAATGAAACGACTCCCACAACAACCGTCTCCTGGTTGCTCAGTCCCTCCGAGAGCCAAATGAAAGCTTCTTCTTGTAACTTCTAGATGTAAATAAATGCAGCGGGATCGTTTTCGTCCCGTCTTCAGCTCTGAAAGCACCGTGTTGCTGTAAACCGTGGTGTGATTCTTTAAAATACTGCACAGTGAAAACGTCTTCTGTTGGTTTGGTTTCATTATTTAAGGTTGACAACGTAAAATCTGTTTCATGTACCGGAGTCGTTCTGGTTAAACTGGGATGTGATTAATTTACCTTTACATGCTTGTTTTGAAGTCCACAGGAGTTTACAGCCAATCAGGACTCAGAATTATCCCTTCGTTCAAAAACATCGTGGCGTTTCTGAGACAAAGGGCACCTGGAGGGCAGGAGGAATCCCGCCTGACGCTTCAGGAAAAAGCTGCAGCCGAGGCCGGGCGTGACATCCAAGGTTTGTATGCAGGGCACGCTCGGGGAGGAGGAAGCGGCTCTCACTGTTTCATGTTCTTTGGCACCTCCAGGCCTGTCAGTAAGGTCACCTGAAGTGGAGAAAACGGAGCGGACGATCAGTGAGGGAGGAAACCCGACAGGCCGGATCAAAAGCAGCAGGATCCGATGAACAAAGAGGCGCCTCGTGAGACGAGCGCACGCCGAAACGGCTCGACACGTAACGAACACGTGAACGTGTGGAACATGTTGGATGACAGCGGGAGTTTTATGCATTAATATTTAATACAGCTTCACACATCTTCATCAGAGGCTTTCCCTCTTGATTTTTGTGCAGATTTACAAACTATATTAAAAAAAAACTGAAATAATTGAACCAATTAAATATTAGATCAATTGTAAACAACAATGATTTCAACATCTGTAATTTGTTGCTAAAATTTTACTAAAATTAACTATTTTTCAAGTCCAACGATGTTTCGGTTGTAAAATATTATGAGGTGAAACAAATGTGTTGGCAAAAACACACAAAATCATAAATATTTGTACTCAAGTTTCTTCTCTGATATGCTTAAACTAAAGCCACGTTTTAAATGCACTTTGTAATATTTAAAATAATGACGATATTAAAAGTAGTCCGAGCCGTCGCATCCATTCCTGAGGACGATCACGCTTTTGAAGGTTTTGTTTTATTCCCTGTGGATATTTTTATTCAAATGTTTGGTTTGCAGTCTAAACATGACAGAATAATTTAATTTGTTAATTGAATAATAATTTAATTTACAAGTATGAACTAAAACAGCTGATCATTAGAACAATGTGCAACAGTTTTATTCACGGTTAGTGGGGCGTTGCTGTCAAGTTTAGGATCCCAAGAAGAAAAACTCAACCCTGTTGTTTTTGGTTCTGCTCGACATTTTATTTTACCAAAAGAGGCCGTTTTATTCCTGCCTCACTTTGTGGTTTGCTGTGTTGTAAAGTGAAGCCTTTCTAGTTCTAATAAACTGAGATATCTTGGAGAATGGGCTTTGAAAGATAAAGGTACGAGCTGTGTTGGCAAAAACGTCTCGCACAAGTAAGTATTTTCACAGTTTAAAGTACTTTTACTGACACAGAAGCTATTGTAATGCTTACATGTAATACATTTTATATTAATTTCAATTATCCTTAACAAGCATTCATAATAGCAACAATGTTTTATTTAGTTGTAAAATGACTCAGTTTAGCGCAGGGCTATTCACCTAAACTGCTCAGTTACTGAGCCAGCAGCTCAGGGGCCGGACATCCAGCGATTAAAGCCATTATGTGAATAAACCAAGTTTTACAATGATCTTTTAAATGCGTTTATTTTGTTGCATTAAATCATAAATGCAATAAACAGAACGCAAAAATTGTTTTTACTTTTCATGAACTGATTGGCGAGCCGGACTCAAGTCATCCACTGGAAGTGGCCCATGGGCCACCAGTTGGATATCCTTGGTTTAGCGTATTCTGACATTTGATGCTTTTATTCTTACCAAATACAAAAAAAAAAAAAACATAAAAGGCTGGTTAGATAAATGGTTTTACACACCATTTGACGTCTGTGTTACTACATTTTTCGGACTATAAGGCGCATTAAGCGAAACAAAACAGATAAATCAAACTTTATTCAACTCATTCACAATAAACACATAAAATCTGTTCGAGGTCAGTAAGCACAACCAGAATTCATACATAAGGCTCACTTTGTCGATTTTTGAGAAAAATTAAAGGATTTTAAGTGTTTTATAGTCCGAAAAAAAACTGTAGTAAAACAGTCAACAACCAGTGCTGTATAACGTCTTTTACATTTTATTATTTTATTTATTTACCCTTTATTTATACAGGTAGTTTCATTGAGTCACAAGAACTCGTTTTCAAGAGAGACCTGGTTTTGGGAACAGATGGTGGGCCTTGCTCAAGGGCCCAGAGTGGGGCAAATGAGGGTGGAGGCAGGTGTGGGTGCTTCACCTTTACCACCCACATTTTGATGTTGTCAGTCCGGGGAGTTGAACCTGAGACTTTCTGATCACAGGCCCATCTTCTCTAACCTCTGCACCACCACTCACCTAGTGAAGGTGTGTTGGAGAGCAACATTTTGACCAATAATCTTTAAAATGTCAAATTATAAGCCAAATGGAATAATGGGATAATACAGGGAGATGTGATCCAGTCTGTCTGGACAGCATCAGTTCTGGTCATGTAAACTAACATTACAGCTACAGACACGTGTAAACTACAACAGTCTTTATGGTAAAACTGTGCAGGTTCTGTTCTGGTTAGTCTAAACTTGACCTAAGTATTACCTCATCCACACCACCATGATGTTTCTTTGTCTTCCAGGATACGGTAACCTTGGACAAATTGACTTAAAGATATTTCACTTCTCATCAGAGCAGCTTTCTCACGTCACACCATCCCTCTTACCCAACTACGTTTAAATGGCGTTCTGCCTCTTTAAAACACCCTTCTGGGTCGATGACGTTGTAAAGGCAGAAACACCCGCACCACACTCACCTGAACGTTTCTGTTGAGGCTAACGGCAGGAACAAACACCCCGTCCAGGTTCTCGAAGGCTGTTGGTCCGTGCTGCTCCTTGTTTACGTAGAAAGTTAACGTGCGTTTCGTCAGATCCAGCAGGACGCCCACGGTGGAGCCCTTATTGATGCCCCCCTCCGCTCTGCAGACACACAGTTCAGAGGTTCACGTCATGCGCAGCTAAAACAAACATTGATTAAGTGTCTCTGGAATCAGCATGAGACAAATGAGACAAAAGCCATAAGAACATGAACATCTTAAATGATCAGCACGTGTGAAGTCTTGCTGTTTTCTCTGAGAAGTTGGCGCTTCTCTTGGAAAAAAGACTGGCGTGTTCCCATAGTTGAATGTTTAATGAGATATTTGCTGTTTTCTGATGCAGGGAGACGATGCAGAAACTCATTGTCTCCTCCAGCCTGCGGTCGTCCCTCACAGCTCTCTGGTGGGTCTGAGCTGCTGCTGTCATCCTGCGTCTCTGTCATGGTACTGGGTCTCCAGTTTCCATTCAGTTTATTTATATAGCGCCAAATCACAACAAAGTTGTCTCGGGGCACTTTACAGGAACATTCACATACATAAAAAAGCCAATTAGTAAAGTTCTCTTATCTAAGGAAGAAAATTTGAGGATGCAGAAAATCAAATGATAAATGGATAAAGTGGCTAATAAAGACTCCGTCTCTTGTTGGTTTATTTTGTAATACAAAGCAGTCTGACTTTTGGGGTTCCCTGATATAAAAATACATTCAGCAGATATAAACTGTTGTTCAGTGAATCAAAAGTGTGTAATAGTGATGCTGAATCTGCAAGACTACATTACTTTATTTAAATTAAGGTTGAATGAATTTGTTGTTCAATCTAGTTTTATGACATCGGTTTTATTTGACTCTTTGAACTTCCACCTCCCTAGAGCTGTAAAGACCTCGTTCTCTCTTCCACTTCAGAATAAAACTATTTTAACGTACAGTTTAGTCTAGCAGGATAAATGTGGGTTTAGCCAACAAATCTACCAAGTTAAATTTAGGGGAAATGTAAAAGTTTAGTTCAGAACAGACTCATCATGGCATTCATTAGACTTTAAAACGTTAAAGATAATGTAGGCAGTTAAGGGCCCCAATGGCAGTAAATGTTTGGGAAAATAAAGTTTGATAATTTAATCATAAACTAATGACTTTAGAACCGTTTCTATCAAATAACATTAAACTTAGTTGAAAGTTGGCTCAATGACTATTCATCCTGCATGAAAATAGAATTAGAGGCGACTGGATGCTGATATAATCTGCCTGAAATTAAAGAGTGTGCACTTAGTATGCCCAGCCAACCAACTAACCAACTGACCAATCCACTAATCAACCAACCAATCAACAAACTAAC